TACAGTATGGGAGAATATATTCATAAATGACAGATCCGATAAAGGATTGACATCCAAAATATATAAAGAGCTCACATACCTCAACAAACAAAAAGCAAATAATCCAATAAAAAAATGGGCACAGGATCTGAACTGACACTTCTCCAAAGATGAAATTCAGATGGTCAATAGACACATGAAAAGATACTCCACATCACTAATCATCAGGGAAATGCAAATTTAAACCACAATGAGATATCACCTCACACCAGTTAGGATGGCCACCATCCAAAAGACAAAAAACAACAAATGTTGGCGAGGATGTGGAGAAAAGGGGAACCCTCCTACACTGCTGGTGGGAATGTAAACTAGTTCAACCATTGTGGAAAGCAGTATAGAGGTTCCTCAAAAAACTCAAAATAGAAATACCATTTGATCCAGGAATTCCACTCCTAGGAATTTACCCTAAGAATGCAGTTTCCCAGTCTCAAAAAGACATACGCACTCCTATGTTTATCACAGCACTATTTACAATAGCCAAGAAATGGAAGCAACCTAAGTGTTCATCAGCAGATGAATAAAGATGTGGTACATATACACAATGGGATAGTATTCAGCCATAAGAAGAAAACAAATCCTACCATTTGCAACAACATGGATGGAGCTAGAGGGTATTATGCTCAGTGAAATAGCCAGGTGGAGAAAGACAAGTATCAGATGATTTCATTCATCTGTGGAGTATAACAATAAAGAAAAAACTGAAGGAGCAAAACAGCAGCAGACTCACAGAACCCAAGAATGGACTCACAGTTACCAAAGGGAAAGGGACTGGGGAGGATGGGTGGGAAGGGAGGGATAAGGGGGAAAACAGGGCACTACGATTAGCACACATAATGTAGGGGGATGGGGACATGGGGAAGGCAGTATATACAGAGAAGACAAGTAGTGATTCTATAGCATCTTACTATGCTGATGGACAGTGACTGTAATGGGATATGTGGGGGTGACTTGATAGTAGGGGGAGTCTAGTAACCATAATGTTGTTCAAGTAATTGTACAATATCAAAAGAAGAAAAAAGAAAACTGTTCAAAAGCCACTGAGCTATTCACTAACAATTCTTACATTCATTTCACAATTCATTTAGGCACTTTCTTCTAAGTCATTAAAAAAATAATCTTCAGTCGGTGGTATTTAATATCTTTTATAAATAAATGACTAAGCTTGTGGGAAAGATCCCTGTATTTAGGGTGAAAGGCACCACAGTATGATTACTATAATATAAAATTAATGAAAATTTATCTAGGTAAACATCCCACTTATTTCAGAGTCTAAAGCTAACCTAAAATTTAAAATCTCATCACACAAAAAGGCAGAAAACGTTTAAAAGTCAGATAAATTATTTTAAAAATTATGTAAGGTCTAGGAGAAGGGGGCAATGGGGAGATAGTGTTTATTGTGTAGTTTTGCAATATGAAGTGTTCTAGATATGGATGGTGGTGATGGCTGCACAGTGTAAATGTAGTTAACACAACTGAACCGTACACTTAAAAATGGTTAATGATAAATCCTGTAATATGTATTTTACCAAAATTTAAACAAATTTTAAGTTATGTGGGAGGTATCAAAGCATTCCAGGATGCATTTGAAAGTCATTGCTAACTAAATAAGTGGTTGAAAGTATTTATTTTCAGGGGAAAAACTCAAATAGAGATAGAAACTCAATTCAAACACTGCCAAACAACTAGAACAGACATACTGCCTGAAAATATTAGAGAAGGAAAATGATCTGAAAAATGAACAAAATGCTAGCAAACATAAAAAAAATTGAAAAAATTGCAAACTGTCTTCTTGGTACTCAAAAAACTTAAGTAATTTGCTAGCAGCCAGAAAAAGAGCACATATTGCCATTTCAAATTAACAAAATTTGTTGTAATCGTATTTGTGTTGGAATATGTTTGACAATTTTGTGAATTATCTACCATTTCTAATCTATCAGAAAGCAAGACATTGTACATGTCTCCTTCAGACAGAGGTGAGAAAAAAAAACTACTTAAATTAATACAGCTCTTTGTCTGCAAGACCAAGTTTAAAGAAGTTAAATCTCAATATTATTTAAAAGAGGATTCTTTTCCTGTAGATCTCAATTGCAGTATAGCTAGGTAACTTAGAGTTCTAATTCCAGTTTCAATATTCACTCACTATAGAATCTTGAGCAAGTTTCTTAAATTTTCTGTGCTTTAGTTTATCTCTAAAATGGAGATAATTCTATTTAACTCACAGGTACGCTTGGGTAGATGTATATACATGCAAAAACACTTAACAGGCCTGACAGAGTAAGCAGGATACACTGTTGTTATAGTATTACTGTTATTGCTACAATTATTTATTTAACTGATTCCAGTTATAAACTAGTTAAGCTGGGGTTTTCTCCAGAAAAATGCACACAAAAAGACTTTAACACAACTGTAGAGGACTCACGGATCCCAGATTAGAGAAGTCCCACCAAAGATAATCCACAAGGACTTGGTTTATAGTAAAATGGTTCTTAACCTCTCTTGTGCCAAGGGCCTTTTTAGTACTCAAGCTAATTTATGGATCTCTTCTCAGAATGTTTTTATGTATATGAAATACACAGTTCACAAAATAAGCCAATTAGTTATCAAAATACTTCAAAATTTCTAATTTAGTAATTAATATGTTTTACTAATGCATTAAATAAGATTTACATATAACAAGTAATGAGCATAAACTATTGCAAGGTAGCTGCAAAAGCTGTAATATATAAAAATATTTCTCTGGTTGCATTCATTGAAATTTCAATTCTTTTCAATTATACATTTCAATTAGAAGATAATGAAAATAAACAGGCATTTTTTTTCCCCCTCTCAACCAAGTTCATGGACTTCCTCAATCCTACCTAGGGACCCCAACTAACTATCCTTGGCTTAGAGGAAAGTGTAAAAGTTAAGTTTTGGAGCCAGAGACTTCTGTTCTAGAAACCAGACTTCAGACTTTAGTCCCCACGTTATTTACACCGGAATGACCTTAGACATCAAACTTGTGAGCTTTGGTTCACTCATTTAGAATAATTCCTATAGGTTGTAAGGATCAAACACTAGTTAACAAAACGCCAAATAATCAGTGTATTATTTTTTTTACTTATTTTACTGCCATATAGTCAGCTCCAAATATTTAATTACATTGTTAATTTTCAATAAAACTCTACAGGAGTAAAACTTAAAACCACATGCTGGTTCACAAAGAACATGATTAAGAGAAATATTAATCTTATGTAACAGTTTAGTAAGAGCCATGATTTGGGAATGAACTGTATCTAAATTCCAATTCCACTAGTTTACTTTTACTAAATTACTTAACTCCTCCACCTCAGTTTTCTCATCTGTAAAAACACTGCAATGTTTTAGAAACGAGGGGATCTAGCTTAAACACTCAATAAATGGAGCTACTATTAAAGTTCACGTTTAAACAAAGCCTAAGGAATCAATCTGGAACTCAAAAGTTTATTCTGGAATTCATGTTTATATAAATAAAACTCTGCAGTCTTTCTTTTGCTTGGCAATACACGTACACTTAAAACCTGCAGCATTTGCATGGCGTAACGTTCCTAACACAACTGGCACTTCTTAAAATCCTATCTGATTTCTTACCCTGCCGAAGGAAAACTATGAGGATAAAAAATGGTAAACAGAATGGATTCGCTAATTTTAAATCTTTTCATGATTTACTTAGCACGTTTCAATGAATGCCTATCATCAATTTATCTGAGGTAGCTCTGTCTCTTTAAAACTTTAAAATCCAATTTAAAGATCTCAAATTTATCAGCTACTTATGTCGGTTGGATTAAAAAAGGGTTAAAAAGGACGTATTTACTTCATGCCTCAGTATCACCGAATAAGACCCCTCCCACCCTCCCTCCCTCGAAAAAAGCCCGCCACAGACTGGCCCCAGCTCCGGACCCATTATACAACCTGTAAATTCTTTCTCTCATTGAAAAGATTCTTTTTATGGGCAGAGTTAACAAGTGCCAAGTTGCGAAGTTGCAGCTTTGCTAGTTTGACGTTTTCACAATGCAAGAACAATATGATCTGGAATCTACTCAAAGCTTAGCCAAGCAGTCAGCTGATGCTCACTGCACACGAGAGAAAGAAATAAGAGAAATTAAGCCTCATATTTGTGTACCTTTAAAACTAAAATAGGCCAACAGCAAACGTTCCAGTTAGAGTAATTTAAGTATTTCTATTGTTAAGTAACAATACAAAAAATGACTTTCCCGGGACTGAGTTTCTCTTTCTTGGAATTTTCCTTGTAAACGGCTTTTATCAGTTCATAAAACCAACCCCTCATCAAGGAGCCGCTGCCTGAGTAACTTTTACAAAAGGTCAAAGCGGTGCCTTTCAAGGCTTCCAAACCTCACTGGCCTCTCCGTTCACAGTAACTCGCTTTCATCCCACAGAACGTTCCAGAGACCTAGGGGCTGGGACCAAAGAAAATGTGGTGGGGGTTGCTAAAAAGCAGCTCTCAACTTTCTTGTCGAACACTCAAGCGGAATTGCACCTTCCTCCCTCCGCGGCCCCACATGTTGCTAGCGTCCCTCCCAGAGGGCCCCGCGAGGCCTCGCTTCACCCCCAGAACGCGCCCACCTGATTACCCTTTCCTCCGCAGACTCCGCCTCCCCACCCCCCTTCTCCAGCGGGTTTGCCTCCCTTAGGAGGTCCATATGGGACACTTTCCCCTTCCTCGGACCTTCAAGCCACACCGGACAGGCCTCGAATCTCCACTTTAAATTATCCCCCACTACGGCCCTCACCCCCCACAGCTTACTAAAGTGCTGTGAGAGCGCAGAGTGGGGCCGCAGGCCTGCACGGCCCAGGTGCTGTGTCAGCCTATCTGCCGGTACCGCGGCGTGTACGGCCTGGAAAGTCACATGGCGGTGGGACCGGCCGGCACCTTCACACTCCCGCTCTCCTCACAGCAGGGCGGTATTACCAAGTCCGCTCACCTCCACGAAGAGCAACATGTCGTCCTCTGCTCGGCCCAATCCTTCTTGTCGCCGCGATTCCAACTGACTTACAGGCCCGAGCCCCAATAGCTAGGGTAAGGACACTCGTCTGGCCCCTCCACCCGGCAGTGGACCCGGCTCCTCCCCCGCCGTCAGCCGCCGCGGCCTGACCCGCCCAGTTCCACCTCCCTTGAAACAGCAACTGTTTCCGGTTCTGAAGAACAACTGCTTCCGGAAAAAGAGAAAGCCCTCGGCGCGCTCAACTTTTGCACTACCTTTTCTAGCGGCGATATGGGATGTACTATCATCTGTCCTGGGGGAAGAAGGGAAGCGATCAGAGGAAGGCACCATTCTGTGCCACAGGGGTGTGAAAAATCTTATCGACGCATTTTAACCTTTGCGAAAAGGCTAGGTAACATGGCCAAAATGATTCCGCAGTTTTCGTAGCTCAAAATCTAGATCTGATAAAAAGCTGAGCTCCAGCGAAGTGTACTGAACAAACGCCCAACCCTGCCAGAGAAAAAGTAGAGAAGGGAGGAAAAACAGCAGTAATAGTAAATATATTACTAGTAGCTGCTGTGTATTAAATCCTTATTACGTGCCTGGCACTAAGTATTTTACGTGATTAATCTTAAAACAATTCTATGCGATTAGTACTATCTTATCCGCATTTTACAGTTGAAGGAGCCCTCTAGGAAGGCAGGTTTCCCTTAGACACACCGTCGGAGAACTTCGCCCCATATTTGAATCAGGTACCCACATCTCTGCTTACTATAATGCTACTTAAAAATACTTAGTCTGGATAGCCTCTTTGTTGATGTACTGCCATCACTTCAAATGAAATACACTAAAAACAAAGTTTTAAATTATCTTTCTAATTTTTTACTAGATGATCTAAATTCCTCACTATCATTAACAATGCCTAGTAGTATTTACCCCTCCTTCATCAGTCCATTTCTATATTCTAGTTCAGACATTCCTCTTTTGAAATAATCATATCTTGATCTTTTCCAGTGGATTTTTTCCCATTATTTCAAACATCTTCCTAAACTGAGGGTTTCCTTTACACCAAACTGCTGATATTTGCTTTCAAGACTTTATTTTGATCCACCTAGTCTCCCTTACTTTACCTCAAATGAATCTTTTTCACTAATATTAATTCCCCCCATCAAATTGCTGATATGTGCCCCATACTCTCCCTAATCTGATCCCCAGTAAACTCAACATTACTTTATCTCAATTAAACCAATCTCCTCACTTTTCCCCTGAAATACAGTACAGCATTAACCTTCAAAGCCATGGCTCAAGGTGTCTTCACTATCTGGAATACCTTCATTTGTCAATTAACCTTCTCTCTACATAAGGTTTTCCCAAAGACAGTGCTCCCCACAGATCTCTTCTTCATGTCCCTTGTTAATACTTGAATATTATATCGTATCTTTTCTTTCTTTTTTTTTCGTTTCTTCACAGGTACCCTATCATATAGTCTTCACAGTCTAGTATAATAGTAGCCACATAATAGTGTCTCAACAAATGCTTGTCAAATTGAAAGAGGAGAGATTTTAAAATTTGCTTTAAAAAGCCATCATTCCCAGGTGCTGATGAATGCCATGCTGCATAAAAAATATGAAAGAGAGAACACTCTGATGCTAAATTCATTGACAAGCATGTGGGCTGCTTTGTGAATGCCTACTGGGGTAAGCAATGTAAAGCAATTGAAAAATAAAAGTTATTTAATCTTATACTCTAATATTACCAACGAAGTACTAAAACAGATTAATTAATGTCAAGAAATGCTGGATAATATTTTAATCAAATCTCACATTTATAAAAATAATCTCCTTAATTATGGTCCTTTCAGAAAACATTATGAACTTTCTTGAGTAAATAGACTTAATTGTGATTTATATGAAACAAAGGATCATTTATGACTGGATTGGAGCTTGGGGGCAGCCTAACCATAAAAGAATTAATTCTGGGGCTTAGAAAAGTTTCCATAAGGAGTCAAGTCTGAAGCTATAATGGCTATCCAAATTTCAGACAGTTTCTGTGAGGAACTGAGGAAGAGTATGCCACATTTTATAAAAGAAAAACTAATGCACAGATTTGGTTTGGAGAGTTGCCAACTAGTGGATAGAGACAAATAATAAATTGCTACCCTTCAAAGAGATAAGTACTATAATAGAAAGTTTACAATGTGATTTTGGAACACAAAGGAGGGAGTAACTTAGATAATGAGATCTTAAAGAGAAGGGAACATATTTAATTTGCTTTCCATATATTGATTGATACTTTAAAAGACAACTACTTCATGATCCCGTCTCCCTTTTTCTGAAGGACTGAAACACATAAATTACTTAACTTTACAAAAGTTTATAACAAGGACTTAACATAGCACTAAGTTTCAATAAGAATTTAACATAGGAAGTTCTTGTGGAGAAATTATACACCCATAACTTATATATAAAGTATAAAACCTACAAAATATTATACAGTTCATGAATACATATACCAGGAGTAAAACTATATCAATGTAGACTAGACATAAATACATCAAATTCATGACTGTCATTGCCTCTGAAAAGGGAGAAAGGGGAAGGAAGGAGTTTGGGGAGACTTCAACTTTATCTCTAATGTTTTCTTTTACTTAAAAATATCTGAAGCAAATATGAAAAATGTTACTATTTATTTTAGGACAGAGGCACATGGCTATTTATTATATTACTTTCTGTACTTTTCATATTTTTTAAATTTAAAAATTAAAAAAAAAGCTACACAGTCAACAAAACCACCTGTCCTATAATTGCTCCAGCCTCCCAAATACTTTCACCTCCTCTGAAATCAAAGGAGCTGCCCAAAGTACTCCTCTTTCAGTTCAAAAGCAGTCTCTAGGGTTCTCTTCAGTTCCTCCAGCCAACTGTGGAACTTCAAAACCTTCTTCAGGGTTCCTTGAAAAAAGGAGTAACTAAGCTGGGCAGTGTGATTTTCATCCACATATCTTCCAAGTTGCTACATGTCTAGGAAAAGTTGATGGGCAGCTGAGGAAGTTGTAACACAATCCATTACAGGTTTTTAAATTCTTAAGCAAAATTTCAGGAAGAGAGAAGAACCAAGAGTTACATTTGATACACTGGATCCTGACACTTAGATTTTAAGCTCATTTAAGCAGGGCTATATCTTCTATTTCTTTTAGTGTTCTTGTTGTCTGTTCTTTTCTACCCTCCCTCCCCCCTTCACCCCTCTACTATCACAGCATACAGAATGCCTAGTTCTCTGCATATAATAAGCACTCTTTAAATGAGTCAATGGTAATGTCACATTAGGTGTATTATGACATCACTAGGACCAGAATACCATGGTTAGCAACCAGTTAATAGCAGATGAAACTACCACCTTTGGGAGCAGAAAGACCTCTTCTAGCTTCCTCTTGGACGCCTTTATTAGCATTTGCCTGCATTCTGTGAAAAAAGAAATTTAAAAAAAATCACTCAACTTTTCAAAATATTTATCAAAATGCAAAGAGATATAGAGAGTGAACCTGAATCAGAAAAAGAAATTTTGGATTACACCGTCATGTCCAGACAACCTCTTGATATGTCAATGGTCCCTAAGCTCGAGATCCCATTCACAGTACAGGATGTCATCTCTAAGATTGAGCAAGCACAGCTTTTGAGAGCCAGAGAGGTAGGTAGTAAATGAGAAGTTTACAGATTGAAACATTTTTTTAACTTTTCATGACCAGCTACATCTTTTATTTTAAAGTTCACTTTATTTCCATGATATTTGACTATGTTTGAGGTAATTTTAATGTCAAATGATAGTTTCACCTGACATGGTGGAGAGCAAATTCCAATTTTATATTATCTCTTTCACTTTCGTATCAATTAAGCTTTTTAAGAAATAAATCACATGGTATTGAGTAATTGGGATAGAAAAAAATTAAATTCTATAGCTAATATTGATATATAATTTTAGTCAATAGTTTTCATTCTTGACTGAGGTTTTCTCAAATAGTTATCAACAAAAAGAAATATAGTTTGCTTTGAACTCAAGCTCCTTTTATTTCCTCTGAACACTTTGTGGAAGAGGAATTTACTGGCCAAGAGATATCCAAGGACAATGAACAAAGAGTTTTAATAATATGATAGACCCCAAATAATTAAGGCTACATTATAAGAAAAGGAAATTCTATTCTCTCCGACAGAATACAAAATCAGTCAGGTTAAAAGAAATTAATTCCGGGGAAGTTCTTTCCTGTCTGTAAAGAGTGCTAAAAATTTGTACTTTCTTGTTCTCCACATAGACTTACTCCTGCTCCCACAACTAGCAACGATAACAGTGTTTGCTTTTAACAGCTTTATTAGGTATAACTGACAACAGTAAACTATGTTCTTAAAATTATGATTGTGAAACCTTCGTCATTATCAATATAATGAACTTACCTATTATCCCCAAAAGTTTCTTCATGCCCTTTACAATCTCTTCCACATATCCTTCCCTGTTCCCCACCCCAATCAATGATTTGTTGTCACTATAGATTATTTTGCCTTTTTAAAGCATTATAAGTGGTATCAAACAGTATCTACTTTCTTCCATCTGTTTTATTTCACTTAGCGTAATTATCTTGAGATTCATCCACATTCTTGCATGTATGATGAGTCCTTTTGTTGTTTCAAGTTTGGGGTTATTACAAATAGATCTGTTATGTACATTCTTGTACTTATTTTATAAACTTATGCTTTCATTTCTTTTGGATAAATACCTAAATTTGGAATGGCTTGTCTATGTGGTATGTTAATTTTTTATTTTTAAAGTAAAATACAAAACTTTGAGAAAGTGGTTATACTCTTATATTGCACAAGCATGATGTGAGAGTTCAATTGCTCTTCATCTCTATCAACACTTGATGTTGTCAATCCTTTTAATTTTAGTAATTCTTAAAGGTATGCAGTTGACCCTTGAACAACATGGGGGTTGGGGCACTGACCTGCCTCCCCACTCAGAGAAAAACCACATATAACTTTTGACTTCCCCAAAATGAACTACTAATACCTTACTGTTGATTGGAAGCCCTACTAACATAAACAGTTGATTAACATATATTTTGTATGTTGCATGTATTATATACTGCACTCTTACAATAAAGTAAGCTAGAGAAAAGGAAATGCTTTTTAAAATTGTTACAAATCTCCAAAAAATTTTTCCAATATATTTATTGGTAAAAAATCCACTGGTAATTGGATATGCCAAGTTCAAATTCATGTTGTTCAAGAATCAACTGTATAATAGCATTTCACTGTGGTTTTCATTTGTGCTTTCATAAACACTAGTGATTTTGAGCAACTTTCCATGAGTTTATTTGCACTCTGTGGTAGTTCAAATATTTTGCCAATATTTTAAAAATTGAGTGGTCTGTGTTCTTATAATTCAGTTTTGAGTTTTCTTATGTATTCTGAATGCAACTCTTTTATCAGATGGGTGATGTGCAAATATTTTTCCCCATTCTGTGGCTTACCTTTTTCTCCTACTAATAGTGTCTTTCAAAGAACAAAATTCCTAAGTACACTTTATCAATGGTTTCTTTTGTGGATCATGCTTTTGGTATAGTAGATAATATATAATCAAACTTTGCCTAACTTAAGGTCACCTACATTTTCTTCTATGTATCCTTCCAGGAGTTTATACTTCTAGATTTTGCATTTAGGTCTAAGATCCATTTTGTCTTAGTCTACGTATATGATATCAAATGTGGAGTGAGATATTTTTTAAAAACAATTATTCTAGCTAAGGTTGAAAAGACTGTCCTTTGTCCATTGAATTTCATTTCCATCTTAATTGAAAATAAATTGACCATATATGTATTAATTAATGGACTCTAGTCTTTTCTCTCCACTTGTCTATTTTTAATGTCAATGCCACAGTATTACTGAGGTTTTATAATAATTCTTTAAATCATGTAGTTTTAGTTCTCTAACATTGTTTCTTTTCAGTTATGCCCATCTTCTCTCATGTATTCCTTTTACCCCCTTTTCCTCTTGGGCTTGTTTCCCTGGAGTGACACATTCAAACACTCAGAAACTGAAAACTGTCTTTACCCACACCGCTTTTTCCCTTTGCATTTTCATATGAAAGTTAGAATCAGTTTGTCAAATTTTACTAGAAAAAAAATCCTGCTGGTATCTTGATTGGGATTGTATTGAAGTTACATATCAATTTGTGGAGCATTGAAATCTTAACAATATTGAGTCTTATTACCCCTGATCACACCAAATCTCTCTATTTATTTAGGTCTAATTTTTCTGTGCAGTGCTTTGCAGTTTTCAGTGTATAAGGTCTTGCACATCTTTTGTCAGCTTTATCCTTAAGTATTTCATATTTTTCATACTATTATAAATAGTATTGTTATTTAATTTCTGTTCTCAATTGTTCACAACTAAAATAGAAATATAACAGATTTTTGTATATTGATCTTGTATACTGAAACCCAATTATCAGTCCTCATAGATTTTCTTTCTACATTCTTTAGGATTTTCTATATAGACATTCCTCTCATGTGCTAACAAAGACAATTTTATTTCCTCCTTTCATATCTGTGTGCATTTAAACTTCATTTTGCCTTACCAAGTAGGCTAGGACCTCCAGTATAAAGCTGAATAGACATGATGAGACATCCTTGCTTTGTTTTTGATGTTAGGGGAAAGCATTCAACCTTCCACCATTAAGTCTGACATAGCTGAATATATTTTACGGTGTTTATCAGGTTGGGGAAATCTCTTCTTCTCCTAGTTTGTTGAGATTTTTCTTTTTGGTATCGTTAATGTACAGTTACATGAGCAACATTATGGTTACTAGTCCCCCCCATTATCAAGTCCCCACCACATGCCCCATTAAAGTCACTGTCCATTAGCATAGTAAGATGCTATAGAATCACTGCTTGTCTTCTCTGTGTTGTACTGCCTTCCCTGGGCCCCACCCCCTACACTATGTGTGCTCATCGTAATGCCCCTTTTTCCCCCTTATACATCCTTTCCTACCCATCCACCACAGACCCTTTCCCTTTGGTAACTGTTAGTGTATTCTTTGGTTCTTTGAGTCTCCTGCTGTTTTGTTCTGTCAGTTTTTTCTTTGTTGTTATACTCCATAGATGAGTGAAATCATTTGATACTTCTCTTTCTCTGCGTGGCTTATTTCACCTAGCATGATACCCTCTAGCTCCATCCATGTTGTTGCAAATGGTAGGGTTTGTTTTCTTCTTATGGCGGAATAATATTCCACTGTGTATATGTACCACATCTTCTTTATTTATTCATCTACTGATGGACACTTAGGTTGCTCCCATTTCTTGGCTATTGTAAATAGTGCTGTGAAAACATACGGGTGCATATGTATTTTTGAGACTGAGCTCCTGGATTCTTAGGGTAAATTCCTAGGAGTGGATTTTCTGGGTCAAATGGTATTTCTATTTTGAGTTTTTTGAGGAACCTCCATATTGCTTTCCACAATGGATAAACTAATTTATATTCCCACCAGCAGTGTAGGAGGGTTCCCTTTTCTCCACATTATCACCAGCATTTGTTGTTCCTATTCTTTTCTATGTTGGCCATCCTAACTGATGTGAGGTGATATCTCATTGTGGTTTTAATTTGCATTTTCCTGATAATTAGCAATGTGGAGCATCTTTTCACGTGTCTGTTGGCCATCTGAATTTCTTCTTTGGAGAAGTATCTGTTCAGATCCTCTGCCCATTTTTTAATAGGGTTATTTGCTTTTTGGGTGTTGAGGCATGTGAGTTCTTCATATATTTTGGATGTTAACCCCTTGTCAGATATGTCATTTACAAATATATTCTCCCATACTGTAGAATGCCTTTTTGTTCCACTGGTAGTGTCTTTTGCTGTGCAGAAGCTTTTTAGCATGATGTAGTCCCATTTGTTCATATTTTATTTTGTTTCCCTTGCCCAAGGAGATGTGTTCATGAAAAAGTTGCTCAAGTTTATATTCAAGAGATTTTTGCCTATGTTTTCTTCTAAGAGTTTTATGGTTTCATTACTTAAATTCAGGTCTTTGATCCATTTTGAGTTTACTTTGTGTATGGGGTTAGACAATAATCCAGTTTCATTCTCTTGCATGTAGCAGTCCAGTTTTGCCAGCACCAGCTGTTGAAGAGGCTGTCATTTCCCTGTTGTATATCCATGGCTCCTTTATCGTATATTAATTGACCATATATGGTTGGGTTTATATCTGGGCTCTCCAGTCTGTCCCATTGGTCTATAGGTTGGTTCTTCTGCCAGTACCAAATTGTCTTGATTACTGTGGCTTTGTAGTAGAGCTTGAAGTTGGGGAGCGTAATTCCCCCCACTCTATTCTTCCTTCAGAGAGGGCTATTTTATATTGTTATAACACAACTTATATATTTCAAATGGACAAAAAATTAGTATCATTTAAAGTATCTTAAGATAAACTGCCTTTGAATGGACGCTTCCTTTACAGTACTTTGAGATCTACAAGAGGTATCTAGAAAATTTACTACTGTGGAAAATGAGGACTGCTTAAATCTAGTTACAGGGGAAGGAGGAAGGGCCTGCAGTCTTTCTTCTTGACTGATTGCTTTAATATGGTCCTTCAGGCAGCTGAGGGAGTTTCATATTTTCTTTAGACATCATTTAGGCCCTGAAGCTCTTGCA